CTGCTCTAAAATATATAATTGACCACAAATGCTTGTGTATTCTCTCTATAATTGTGTTTACTCATGAGTGAGTGTAAAGGTCAGGCAGTAGCAGGAACATGAGTGTTTATCCGGCTCTGTGTGGCCGCTGGGCTAGCGGACGTTTGCTTCGTCTTCTGAGCGTCCGCTGGTGGAACATCTTTACGGTTGCAGGACCATAAACGTGGACTCACTTTCATGATCAGTAAAATGTTGTGGTCCAGTTCTGCTCTACGAGAGTCGCCTTCATCCAAATGTGTTGTAGTTTACGTTGATTTTTATTACGTGTTTGTTTAATATTTCAAATGATGTCATGGTCAGCTGTCACTGTGACTAGCTGTAAACAACAGAAGTTTGTGCAATAGCTGTGTGTGTGTGTGTGTGTGTGTGTGTGTGTGTGTGTGTGTGTGTTACGTGTGTGTAGAATCTGAGATGTCACAATAGAGTTATTTCTAATGGCTGTAGACTATTATTTTTTATAAAATATTATGTGAAACACTATGCAGTATGCTATAATATTGCATTTTTAATTCAGTATTAATCCACAACTATATATATATAAACAAATTTATTTAACAAATTACAATTTACAATTATATTGTCGCATTTTGCAATGATTGTTAAAAATTCATAAAAGCTCAAATTCACTCCCTACCAGTGATTTTTATATATTAAATACATGTTAGTACATGTTCAGTGGATTGTGGAAGTGTACCACAACATAGTCATTGTTTAATTTAGATCTAATTTATTTGTAATTTATGTTTTACTTTTCATTTTACTGATTTAAAGAAATCTTAAGTAAGATTACTTTTCATACTTGGCTCCGCCCTCAAACACTGTAGTGTATCTGAGACTGGAAGAGTTCGGCTCGTGTTGTTCGTGTCGAGGAGACGCTGTTTTCTGAGATTGAGACGGTGAAACCCACGCCATCGTCACTGTTCGTATCACTGTGATCAAGAGCTGAGATTCAGATATGATAATGAGCGTTTGCTTTCTGACCAATCACAGCAGAGCAGCTCTCAGAGAGGCGGGGCTTAGAGAGACTGAATCCTTGATGAAAGTGTTTCAGACACTGAGAGGAAAGAGCTGAAGCTGCAGTGGAGATTATGAGGACATTAAAGGGGTCATATCATATGACGGTTCTAAAAATAACATTATTTTGTGTATTTGGTTTAATGCAGTGTGTTCACGCGGGTTTAGGTTCATAAGACCCCTCAAACAGTAGAGCGCTGGCGCTTGCAACGCCAAGGTCATGGGTTCGATTCCCAGGGAAAGCAAGAACTCAACTGATAAGAATGTAAATTTCTACCTTGTAATGCTATGTAACTCACTTCGGATAAAAGCGTCTGCCGAATGCATAAATGTAAATGTAAAAACTATTATAGGAGACTCTAAAACAACATTAGGAGCCTTTAATAACAGCATAATATGGGCACTTTAAAAAAGGTTGATATTTCAAGAATCCATAATGCATGATTTTTGCCTTTGCGTATAATTGAGCATCTCTAATATATGTGTGTGTGTCAGGGCCGGATTAAGAGTTCAGAGGGCCCTGGGCACAATGTCTTGTAGGCCCCCTCTTAGGCAGGCCAAATGTATATTTTGCCCAAGGACATTTTAATATGGCATTTACAGTTCTACTGACTTAAAAGGAACTTTGTTGTACTATGCTGGAGTAAAGTTCCTAAATGGTCGTTCTTTCCCATAGGAATTTGTAAAACTACGTTGGGTGGACCTCTGTGCCTCTAGGGGGGTTCGGGGGCATGCTCCCCCGCAAGAAAATGTTGTACATTTTAAGGTTAAATGCATCAATCTGGTGCTCTTTGAGAGATCAAAATTAAGAGCTTCAACCCATGAACTGCTCGTTGAACAAAGAAAAAGCATTGATTTGTACCAGGACAATAAAGAGGGCTCAAACATCTTTTTAGTTATGAGAGTCTCAGTCTACATTACATTATCAATGGTGTTTTAGGATGCCAAACAATTATTATAATACTGTAATAATGATTTATATAATTATTCCTATGACGTAAAATCCGTATAGCCTATAAATGTACTATAAATGAAAATGAATATTTCAAAAGTATATTTTAGTCTACATTACACTATAATACAGGAAAATTAAAATACTTTTGTCCTAATTTCTTCACTTGCAAGAAACCCATGAGCTTTTATTTAGGAGAAAACACCAGATAACCATGCTGATCGCGTGAGCAAAGTGCACACTTTTCTTTAAATCACCCAGCACACACAGGATGCCTATTCTTAAAGTCTTGTGCTGTTTTATAAAGGCACAAAGCCATATCATGGTTTCGATTTTATTTCGTTGGCAAAATATAACGCTAGAGACCTTTATGTTAGGTTATACATTTTACATCTCATATGTGTTGGGAAAAGGGAGAAGAGAGAGTTCGGCAAAAAGCGGATTCGAACTCGGGTCGAGCGCATCAAAAGCTATTATCAAGCAGCTCGCGCGCTACGACCTACGCCACTGTAGCTATCCCGTGACGGGCGTCTTTTTGGTAAAAAGACAGGCACTTAGTGCAAATATACGCTCCGTTATCTAAAATATTTTTTTTCCTTCCCCTCGCTTGGGCCACAAGTGCGCATGGCGAACTTGCAATGAATACATTTTATCAGACCGGCCCTCGCGGCCTCTCCCGATTGCCACTCCGCCCCTGGTGCCCAGGGCCCCTTAGATGTCATGGGCCCCTGGGCAAGTGCCCAGTTGCCCTAATGGTTAATCCGGCCCTGGTGTGTGTGTGTGAGTGTGAGTGTGAGTGTGTCTGTTTGTGTCTATCAGGGATTTAAATCTTATAGAGCTGTTCAAGGCTGCCTGGATTACTGTGTGTGAGAGAGAGAGAGTGTGTGTGTGTGCCTGCAAATGTTTTATGTGATTAATATTGTGTATATTCTGTATTATTTATGTGTATGTTTTAAGAACTCGTCTTTCCTGTCCATGATGTGAACACAAACACACAGTTGTTTGTATTGTGTCTAATGGTTCATGACACACTTTAAACACACATGCCTTCACTGGAACTGCAGGACAATCAGAAAAACCCTCTGCTGCTGTGTGTGTGTGTGTGTGTGTGTGTGTGTATGAACTCAGAACTTCATAGTTGTCCTCTGATCTTCAGTATCAGCTGCTTATGTGAAGCTTGTTCATTGCTGTTCTCAAACTTCCACACTTTATTTGTTCATTCATGCCTTCTTTCCTTCATTGTCACTCAGTGGCAGATGTCAGTGCGCCCCCTACTGGAGCAATGCTGGACATGATGTGTGTGTGTGTGTGTGTGTCAAGATATCAGGGATTCACACACACACACACACACACACACACACACACACACACACACACACAGAATCTCTCTCTCTCTCACACACAAACACACACACACTCACACATCTTTTGAACTTTCTATTCATCAAAGAATCCTGAAAAATAAAATGCATCACAGTTTCCACTTTCCATCAAAGTTTTCAAATAATCATAAATGTTTCTTGAGCATCAGATCCTCATATTAGAGTGATTTCTGAAGGATCATGTGACACTGAAGACTGGAGTAATGATGCTGAAAATTCAGCTTTGATCACAGGAATAAATTACACTTTACTATATATTCACATAGAAAACAGATGATTTACATTAGAATAATATTTCACTATTTTACAGTATTTTGATCAAATAAATGCGGAAGTGACTCTTTCAAAAGCATAAAAAAATGTTTTTTAAACCTAATGTTCAGTGAATGGATGTGTCTGTATAATTTTAGTGTTTCCAAAGGACATCCTCATTTGCAAAATTTTTAATATTTATATTTGTATTATAAAATGCAGTAATATTTATGTTAGGGTTAGTGTGTGTTTGTGTTATTCTGTAGTATTTATAATATATATATACTGTATTATAAATCCTATATATAAAGCTGTATAGAGGTCTGTGGTATGTGCTCATTCTGAAAGTGTGTGTGTGCAAACGTGTGTGTGTGTGTGGTTGTGTGTGTGTGTGTGTGTGTGTTTGAAAGATAAACAGTGAGTTTACATTAGCTCTTGTTGTACCTGCCGGTCTGGTCTCAACCTGTCAGTCTGTCACTCTCTCTCTCACTCACACACACACACACACACACACACACACACACACACACACACACACACACACACACACACACACACACACACACACACACACACACACTCGGGCTGTGCTCATCATGTGGAAGAGAAGGCTTCACATCTCCACCAGACGTAAGAGCAAAACTCCTGCTGATAAGAGGCTTGATATTACTCAATTATTTCCATGGCCTTCTGCCACATGATCAATGCATTTGATCAATATTCTCTTGCTCTGTATTGAACACACATTGTTTTAGTGTTTGAAGTGTGTGTGTGTGTGTGTGTGTGTGGCGGATGGTTCAGTTTTAAACTCAGGGTGTCTTGCTTTTTGAAGATGTGTGAATGTCGTGAATTTCAGCCCAACATAAAAAGAAAAAATAAGCAATTATATTGTGCATAAAGAAAACAAAGACAAAACAAAAAGAACTATTTTTAGGACCGTTAAGATGTTTTGTCGTGACATTATTTTCATGAATTCCCACAAAATTCTCACTATTGGAATGTAAATTTTGTTTGACACATTTATTTATGTACACAATTTACTGATGAGATTTTTGAGAGAAAATGTGTTTCATTGTCATTGCAAAAGATGGTCCTAAAAAATCTCATATTCACTCATTTAATTGTAATCATGTGGATCCAAACATGTTGTTTACAGGTTTTAATGTGATAAACCCACAATTAATAACTCGACCTGACGTGAACCGGACAGAACGACTGTGTCTGTCATGTGATAATTGTTATCAGGCTCCTTCCTCTTTCTCTCATTCGCTCTCTGTGTCAATATTAGTTTTGTGTCACGGATGATTAGTGTTCACACACACACACACACACGCTGATGAACGTTTACTGTGTGTCTCCAGGGCAGAGAAGACAGAAGTCCTGAGTGATGATCTGCTGCAGGTGAGTGAAGCGGTTCATGTGTGTGAGGTCTAGATGTGTGTGCTCCTCTCTGAGTGTGTGTGTGTGTGTGTGTGTGTGTGCAGGCAGAGAAGCGTCTGGAGCTAGTTAAGCAGGTGTCTCACAGCACACACAAGAAGCTGACCGCATGTCTTCAGGGTCAACAGGCTGTGGACGTGGACAAGCGCTCCGTCAGGTCGCCTCCAGTAAGTGTGTGTGTGTGTGTGTGTTCATGTTCACATCATTCAGAACTCATTCTTTTAACGAGTCATTCACTTTTAGAATCATTATAGAACTCTTGACTCAATTTTAAAGACCCCTTTATGCAAAAAAGGTTCTATATAAAGAGAAATGTCTTGCATTATTGTTTAATACTTTCTAGTGATTAAGTATGTTTATGAGTTGTTGTTTAATTCATAAAATCTAATCAAACTTAAAAATCAATTCAGTCATTCGTTGAATCGACTCACTTCATCATTATTCTCAGTGTCCGTCTCGAAAAATAAAGCGAGTTTTGTCACTGAAATTTCATGAATGTAATTTATGACATGAATTTACTTTAATAAATACATTTACTTGTTTTGTGGAACCGACTCTCATTCTTTGCATTGAAAAGAGCTCAACAGATTTAGATAAAAACAGTATTTATTTATTTGTAATTGTCTTTTTTTTTTCAGTTCTCTCTTCTCTCCTTTTTTAAATTTTTTAATTTTCTATAAATGCAACACGAGCAACTTTTGGTTTTTGGGTTTAAACGTGGTCTGCACATGTTTTCATGAACTCATTTGAGCCGGTTCTTTTAACGAGTCATTCACTTTAAGAATCAATCTTTAATAATCAATACATTATTATACGGGTGAAACTCAAAAAATTAGAGTATGGTGCAAAAGTTCATTTATTTCAGTAATTCAACTTAAAAGGTGAAACTAATATATTATTATGTCAAGCCTTTATTTGTTATAATTTTGATGATTATGGCTTACAGATATGAAAACCTTTTCATAATATTCTAATTTTGAATTTGGGGTTTTCATATCTGTAAGCCATAATCATCAAAATGATAACAAATAAAGGCTTGAAATATCTCACTTTGCATGTAATGAGTCTATATAATATATTAGTTTCACCTTTTAAGTTGAATCACTGAAATAAATGAACTTTTGCACCATATTCTAATTTTTCAAGTTTCACCTGTATATAGTCTTACATTATTGATTAATACTTTAATATTTTACAGGTTATTACGTTTTTTTCCCTAGTGATTAAATATGTTAATGAGTTGTTTAATTCATAAAATGTAATTAAAATAAATGAATCAAGTAATTCATTGAATCGACTCACTGAATCATTCAGAGCGGATCCTGAACATGTGATTCTTTTACCGAACTGCAAATCATCATTATTCTCAGTGTCCGTCTCGAAACGAAGCGAGTTTTGTCACTAAAATTCAATTAATGTAATTAATGACTTTAATTTAGTTTGCATTGGAAAAAAAGCCCAACAGATATAGATAAGAGATAACGATCAAACTTTTAATTCATTCGTTTCTTCATTTCATTACAATGTTCATGGCTGTTTAAATAAATAACCTCAAAATGTATCACTTTTGTGAGCAATCTACTTCTACTTTTAAATATTGTTTTTCCCATGAAACTTGACCGAGCGTGTGTTTGCGAGCAGAAGAAGCTTCCTCTGACGTCTCTGGCTCAGTGTCTGGTGGAAGGAGCCGCTGTTCTCGGGGATGATTCTCTGCTGGGGTGAGAGACGCTCTCAAACACTTCACAATGAGATGCTGCTTAAAGTGCCCCTATTATGCTGTTATTAAACGCTCATAATGTTGTTTTAGAGTCTCCAATAATAGTTTTACATGCATACAATGTCATAAACACTTCCTCATAATCTCCACTGCAGCTTCAGCTCTTTCCTCTCAGTGTCTGAAACACTTCCATCGAGGATTCAGTCTCTCTAAGCTCCGCCTCTCTGAGAGCTGCTCTGCTGTGATTGGTCAGAAAGCAAACGCTCATTATCATATCTGAATCTCAGCTCTTGATCACAGTGATACGAACAGTGACGATGGCGTGGGTTTCACCGTCTCAATCTCAGAAAACAGCGTCTCCTCGACATGAACAACACGAGCCGAACTCTTCCAGTCTCAGATACACTACAGTGTTTGAGAGCGGAGCTTAGAGACGCTCTTCAGCCAATCAGGACCACAGGCTGGCATTATGCAAATGAGTTACACAGCAGGTTCAGCGAGAAGTGAGACTGAAATTACTGACGACTCGTTTTAGTTCGGAATCGATTCTTTCTTTTAGGAGAGAAAAACTCCATTTATCTTTGATCTTTAAAACTTTGCCGTCCTTTTATACATGAAAGGTCATCTCCCGAAACGCATAATAGAGGCACTGTAAAGGATCTCATCTGTGCTAATGTTTACTCTGAATGTGTTTGTGTAGCAAGATGCTGAGGATCTGTGGAGAGACACAAGAGAGACTCGCTCAAGAACTTCAGCTCTTCGAACTCCAGATTGAGGGAGACGTCGTGGATCCGCTCTACACACTCTCTGAGGTGTGTGTGTGTGAGTGAGTGTGTGAGTGAGTGTGTGAGTGAGTGTGTGAGTGAGTGAGTGTGTGTGTGTGTGTGTGTGTGTGTATGTTCTTAATACTGAACTTAGATAAACCAGTTTTTTCACAATAATTAACAGTACTCACATTTCATTTTCATTGTTTTATGGCCAACTTTGGACTCAAATTCCTTGTCATTTTTTTATTTACAATAATGTAATGTAAATAATACAACAGACAGTTGTGGTCCTGGATGCTGATTGGTCAATCCAGTCAAAGGCCGAGCTAAAATATTTGCTTTATAGCTCCACTGATTTTTGAGATAATATTCCAATAATTTAACAACACATTCATGCAGATAAACAAATAAAATATTTCATAATTTTAGTTAGTGTTTTCTTTTTATTTGACAATTATTTATGTATTTATTGTACTTTTTATGTTTTAAATTTTTATTATTTTAGACAGAGAGAGGACATTTCATCAGCTTTATTCAGAATAATGTGTTATACAATGAACATTTGTGTACATGTTTTATAAAAGCAATTAGATGTGTTCATTCTGTCGTCCGTTTATTTTTTCTTTTGCTTCCTCAAAGGTTGAAATTCCCAACATTCAAAAGCAAAGAAAACATTTAGCCAAACTGGTACTGGACATGGATTCTGCTCGCGCACGGTGAGATACATGTACAATTATATTATATATTAATCATATTATATAAAAAGAAAAAAATATATGTTTTTACGAGCTTGTAAAACAGCTTGCAAATTAAACTAAAATATGTTTACCTTCTTAAGTTGAGTGCATTGCATTATGTATCTATAGTATCTCACATTTTGATTTAGGAGGCAAATGTGTTTTTAATACGCCGTTCTCTCCTCCCAACTCTAGGTGGCACCAATCATCCAAATCTTCAACTCTGTCTAATAAGGAAACACCCATCGGGGCCAAAGCCGACGCCCTCAGGGAGGAGATGGAGGAGGCGGCCAATCGCATGGAGATCTGTAGAGTGGGTGGAGCTTATCTCTCTCTCTCTCTCTCTCTCTCTCTCTCTCTCTCTCTCTCTCTCTCTCTATTCTCGATCTCTCTATTCTAATTTTTCAAGTTTCACGTGTAGAAGTATGCTATTGTAGGTTAAAGGGATAGTTCACCCCAAAATGTAAACTCTGTCAGTAATGACTCTCCCTCATGTTGTTCAACCCCGTAAGACTTTCCTTCATCTTCGGAACACAAATTAAGATATTTTTGATTAAATCTGAGAGCTGGATCACTCCTCCATAGGCTTCTTAAAATAGTCCGAGTGACTACAGCGGCTCAACCTTAAGTTTATCAAGCGACGAGAATACTTTCTGTGCGCAAAAAACAAACAAAAATAACGACTTTATTCAACTCTTCATGTCCTTCTCTGTGGGCCTCGAGTGAGTTCACGTAGTGTAACAGCGCAGCGCTTCAGGTGTACGTCACACGCATCACATGACCAGCGTCGGCCAATAGAGAGCCTACGTGTGACGTGCAACACAGAAGCTTTGCGCAATATCACTACGTGAAATCTCACCGAACTGTTCTTCTCTTTCTCATCATTTTTAATGTTGCTGTTTTCCAGGATCAGCTCTCAGCGGACATGTATAGTTTCGTGGCCAAAGAAATGGATTATGCAAACTACTTCCAGACGGTGAGTGTGTTAATCATTTAGATGAACAGCCTCTCGTTTCATTATTAACGCCTCTGTGTCTCGCTGTCTGCAGCTGATCGAGGTTCAGGCCGAGTATCACAAGAAGTCTCTGGAGTTGCTCCAGAACGTTCTCCCGCAGATTAAAGCTCAACAGGGTGAGAAAATCATCAATGACCAGCAGAAACGATGAACTGAGAAAGATAACAAATGGGATTGAGGTTTAAAATGTGGTTTTAAAAACAAATCCAGGGTTCCTCTGCTTGTTTGTTGGACTGCACAAGATAGCTGTAAAATAATAATGATAATAATCACATCCAGAAATGTCATCAAATGGACAATAACATGTTTCCTTTTTCCGGTGTGATAAGAAGAGGAGTCGTCGTAATCTGACAGAGTAAAGAATAAACAATATTTAAAACTGTTGTAAAGTAGACAGAGATAGTCAAAGGTCTTCCTTTATATTATATTATATCGTATCGTATTATATTATAATTAATTATATGAATATGATTCATTTTCACTGCAATTTAGTAAATAATTTTATTTGTAGTATTTTAATCTTTAATTATAGTTTTAATCCAAGCGAAACAGAATTACATTTATTTGTATGACAATTAATCATTAGTACAACATTCATGATCGTGACAGGCCTAACATGTATATAATATATATATAAAATATTTTATTTAATAAAAATTAATACATAAATGTATATATAATTTTAAATATATTTCCTATTTTGTGTTTTTTAATAATTTTTATATTTTTATTTGAATATGATTTTTATATATATATATATATATATATATATGTTTATATATTTAAGATATTTTAAATTGTTTAAAAATAAAATCCAATAAAAAAACATTATTTTATTTTTCATTACAAACTTCACTTATTAATTTGATTAAATTGCAGTCTTTCCAAGTTTCCAAGTTTTTGGTTTTACTTTGATGAATCGTATAGCTTTCAGTCTAGGATGTGGCATCAGATCTCTCTCATTTTAATATTATTATATATTGTAATATTTTAATATGTCATTGATCGTCGTCTGAACCCTGAGTGTGGTCTGTGGAGTCGTTCAGCTGGTGAACAGTGTGTGTATGTGTGTGTCCAGAGTCGTGGGTGGAGAAGCCGTGTTACGGGAAGCCTCTGGAGGATCACCTGACTCTGAGCGGCAGAGACATCGCGTTCCCCATCGAGGCGTGTGTGACGGTGCTGATGGACTGTGGCCTGCAGGAGGAGGTGAAGCTGCGCTGCAACACATGTAGAGGAATCATATACTGATATTATAAAGCAGAGAGTTGTGCTGACTGGAAGATAATAGTTTCATAATTTAAGTTCACATTGGCATGTTCACGATTCTCTGATGTCGGTTACGGTTCACATGACATGCAGGGAAACATGTAAAATGTTTTATATTTTTTTAGTTGTTTTTATTTGTAAATAATTTTAATTGGGCATTTTTATCATTTAATTAGTTAAATTTTCCATATTTGTTTTATTTATTTATATAATCATTTAATAATTTTAAATATTTAATTTATATATACAGGTGAAACGCGAAAAATTAGAATATCGTGCAAAAGTTCATTTATTTCAGTAATTCAACTTAAAACTAAGTTGAAACTAATATATTATATAGACTCATTACATGCAAAGTGAGATATTTCAAGCCTTTATTTGTTATAATTTTGATGATTATGGCTTATAGATATGAAAACCTTTTCACAATATTCTAATTTTCAATATGGGGTGTGTGTCTGCGTGTGTGCGTGCTTGTGCATACGTTTGTGTGTGTGTGCGTCCATGTGTGTGTGTGTGTGTGTGTGTGTCTGCGTGTGTGCGTGCTTGTGCGTACGTGTGCGTCCGTCCGTGTGTGTGTGTGTGTGTGTGTGTGTCTGCGTGCTTGTGTGTGTGTGTGTCTGCGTGTGTGCGTGCTTGTGCGTATGTGTGTGTGTGTGTGTGTGTGTGTGTGTGTGTGTGTGTGTGTGTGTGTGTCAGGGTTTGTTCCGAGTCGCTCCGTCTGCCTCGAAGCTGAAGAAGCTGAAGGCGTCACTAGACTGCGGCGTGTTGGACTTTCAGGAATATTCCATCGATCCTCACGCGATTGCAGGTGAGATTCCCCTCCGCTCATGTTGAACTGAGACACACACACACTCCTGATCTCGACTCACGGTGTTGCTGCTGTGTGTTTCAGGCGCTCTGAAATCATACCTGCGGGAACTGCCCGAACCCCTGCTGACCTTTGACCTCTATGAGGAGTGGATTCAGGCATCAAAGTGAGAGAAAACTAACACTCGTCCTCAAGCATAGTTGGTTACTGATGGTTAGTGTGCTGGTGGAATTACTCAGGAGCGTGTGTGTGTGTGTTGTGTGTGTGTGTAGTATCACGGATCAGGACCAGCGTCTGCAGGCTCTGTTATCCACCTGTGAGAGGCTTCCCTCAGCAAACAGCAACAACTTCAGGTGAGTCCAAAGATCCCACAAAACCTGCATTTCCCATCATGCATAGCAAAGTGTGTGAGCCGGACACCAGAGCTGTGTGTGATCTCACGAGCCCAACCTCTCCATCACCCTCACTTTACTGTCCTACGAATAATAGCAAAAAGGCCAAACATAATTATACATATAAATTATATAATATATAAAGACACATTTTTTTTTTTTTTATAAAATATGAAAATAAATATGTATTTATATTTTATATGTATTTTTATATAGTATATAATTTAATATTAAACATTTTTATATATAATAATTTAATATAATAATTTTGTTTAAATTGTTTCAATATATATTTATTTACATACAGTATACTTTACATATTATGTTTTTACATTTAATAATTTTATGTATTTATTTTTAATATATTATATATACATATATAAGTAGTGCTGTCAATTAAATTTGTCTCATCTAACATAATTTTTTTTAAATATATAATAAATGTGTGTGTGTAAATATATATATATTTACAAACTTTTATGTTAGATGAGATTAATTGATTTGACAGCACTAAATATATTATATAATTTATATATAGTATGAGAGTATATAATTAAAAAATGTGTGTATGTGTATATATATTTATAAAGTGTATACTTGGGTATACATCTTCTTAAATTTGTACAAATTTATCAGTAAGTTTAATAAACTAATGTGTATTTGTTGTCAGAGTTTTCAGACTGTCATGAATCACTGTTTCATTTCCAGGTATTTGATTAAATTTCTCGCCAAACTGAACGAGTATCAAGATTATAATAAAATGACGCCAGGAAACATTGCGATCGTCCTGGGGCCGAACCTGTTGTGGGCGCGAGCGGACGGGTGAGTGACACACACACACACACACACACAGTCACACACACACACACACACACACACACAGTCACACACACACACACACACACACACACACACACACACACAGTCACACACACACACACACACACACACACACACACACACACACACACACAGCTTTGTTTTTGTGATATATGAGGACATTCCATAGGCGTAATGACTTTTATACTGGACAAACTGTATATTCTATCCCCCTACACTGCCCCTATCCCTAAACCTGCCCATCACAGGAGACATGCTGCATTTTTACATAAAAAAAAACCCATTGTTTTTTATGTTTTTTAAGCTATTTGAAATATGAGGACACATGCAATGTCCTCATATATCACGTGTAAGTTGTAATACCAGTGTAATATGCATGTCATTATACACATTTGTGTCCTCATATATCACAAAAACAAACACACACACACACACACACACACACACACACACACACACACACACACACACACACACACACACACACACACACACACACACACACACACACACACACAGTCACACACACACACACACACACACACACACAGTCACACACACACACACACACACAGTCACACACACACACACACACACACACACACACACAGTCACACACACACACACACACACAGTCACACACACACACACACACAGCCACACAGTCACACACACACACACACACACACACACACACAGTCACACACACACACACACACACACACACACACAGTCACACACACACACAAAGTCTCACACACACACACACACACACACACACACACAGTCACACACACACACACACACACACACACACACACACACAGTCACACACAGTCACACACACACACACACACAGTCACACACACACACATTTTAACTATTTATTTAAGTCCACTTAAAAGAAATGATTTACAGGGACACAAATACTATAGATGCAGTCAAATGCATGCACATAATCAAGGACCAGTGGCATACAGCAGATCTTCACAGTATTTTGCATCACTCAGTTGTTATGGATACAAGTAGCACCGTCTCCGCCAGATATGACGGCTGCCTATAAGAGCAGACAGAGCGCAGTACTTTGCTAGCTGTTTAGCCCTCTTTTTGGGCATCCCTAGTTGTTGAAGCCCCCTTACAACCAGCCTGTGTGTGTGTCCTAAGCTGCCAAATATGAGCACAAGAAGTCGGCTCTGATAACCTAACTCTGAGATGACGTTTAGGAGTGGTTGATATTTAATCATCTTAGTCATAAAAGCTTCTTCCATACTAGAGTCAAATGTACATGCAACCTCCACAACGAACACCTCACTGATCTCCTCATTAATCACAACAATATCTGGTGTATTTGCAAGCACATGAGAAAAGGTTTCAGAGCTATTACACTTCTGAAACATAGATGATTTTACACACGAATGTTTGTACATTTTTACAGCAGATGAGAAAAAGCTTGATATGTCCTTCACTATAAGATCCACTATTCTGTCGTGGCGTGCGATGTACATTCCTTTATAGGCATGGCAGCCGTTTAAGATGTGTGGCAGTGTTTCAGTGATCTGTTCTGTAGTGTGATGCAAGCAGTGAGGTACCTGAGTTGTAGGAAACCAGATAGAAAGATTGAGTCTGGTTGGAAGAACTTGTAGTCTGGCTTTTACCGTAAAAATGATAATCTCCTCGCTGAGTGCAGTATTCTTAAAAAAAGAGTGAGAAACAGAGTGATCAGCGGAGGAGAGACACGCAAGTTTCCCCTGAAGGTTCAGGCCTGTCCAGTGTTGTTTCTGCTGGTGTTGGTGTAGGTCCAGGAGAGCTGTCCGACACACACACACACAGTCACACACACAGTCACACACACACAGTCACACACACACACACACACACACACACACACACACACAGTCACACACACACACACACACACACACACAGTCACACACACACACACACACACACACACACAGTCTCACACACACACAGTCACACACACACACACACACACACACACACACAGTCACACACACACACACACACACACACACAGTCACACACACACACACACACACACACACACACACACACACACACACAGTCACACAGACACACAGTCACACACACACACACAGTCACACACACACACACACACACACACACACACACACACACACAGTCACACACAGTCACACAGACACACAGTCACACACACACACAGTCACACACACACACACACACACACACACACACACACACACACACAGTCACACACACACACAGTCACACACAGTCACACACACACACACACACACACACACACACACACTGTCACACACACACACACACACACAGTCACACACAGTCACACACACACAGTCTCACACACACACACACACACACACAGTCACACACACACACACACAGTCTCACACACACACAGTCACACACACACACACACACACACACACACAAACACACACACACACACACACACACACAGACACACAGTCACACACACACACAGACACAGTCACACACACACACACACACACACAGTCACACACACACACACAGTCACACACACACACAGTCACACACACACACACACACACACACACAAACACACACAGTGACACACACACACACACACACACACTTTTGTTGCCATTGGCTTTTGTCTTGCTTAGTTGGGGACATTAAATTGAACATTTAATCTAATATTCAACAATATTATTGATCTCCTGCATTGACAGCATTATATGAGAACTGAACTGAGCTGGACGATGACATCATGGTTTTCTCCGGAGCGGCTATATATATATAAATGAACTAAATAAATAACTTTTTTTACAACAAAAATGAACCATCACTGAACTTGCTTAAGCTGGACTGTGGCGCTATTCTCTTCTAGAAACAAACTCTGTTGAATTATTTTCCTGTTATCTCTGTAAAGCTGCTTTGAAACACTCTGTGTTGTAAACTTGTGAGTTGACTTGACACACACACACACACACACCTTCAGCATCTTTACACACTCCTCACTCGTGTGTCTGGATCCTCTCAGGAACATTACGGAGATGATGACCACAGTCTCGCTGCAGATCGTCGGGATCATCGAGCCCATTATCCAGCATGCTGATTGGTTCTTCCCTGGCGGTGAGATATATATATATATGAATAACCTCAAAAGCTGGATTATTATCAGACGTGTTAATATCACTGTAATAATAGCGGTGTAGCGATACATGTCACGATTCGATTCATATCACGATACTGACTCACGATACCATATTATTGTGATACTCCAAGACATATGATAAAATGTTAACAAAAAATGTACTATTGATTAAAATGCTAAATTTAATATTATAGTGTGAAACCCAAAGCACAGGACAATAGAGACACCAGAATAACAATATTCATAATTCTGAAGCTGAAAACACTGAAATATTTTATCCAAATGCTTTCACTCTGTCACTGAGTAGATATATTTAAAATAATGTCGGCCACTTTTTACTGGTAACAAGACATTTAGCATTATCAGGACACAAATATTCCCCATTGCATTATTAAACATTATATCACCATTATATGTAGTAGTTTAATGTATACACTGACACTGAAACTCTGTAAACTTGAATTTTTTTCTCACACAGAATTTTTTATTTTGGTTCAGATCTGAAACTGAAACTGAAATACAAAAATGCATCAATATGTATCTCTGGATAGTTCAACCAAAATAAAAAATTCTGTGCAATATTGCAATATATTATGACCTTAGACTGTAAAAAAAATTGATTGTGACACGATGTATTGTACAGCCCTATGTAATAATATACAGTATGTCTGAATTATGTAGCATACTGTATGTTGCTTAATGCAGGGTTCGTACAAGCTGCTTAAAGTACTTGAATTTGACTTTTTGATATTAAAGTTCTGGAAAATCCTTGAAAAGAGCCATAATTACGAAGAGGTACTTGAAAATTTAATATATATATATATATTAAATTTAACACACACATACAGGTGAAACTCGAAAAATGAGAATATGGTGCAAAAGTTCATTTATTTCAGTAATTCAACTTAAAAGGTGAAACTAATATATTATATAGACTCATTACATGCAAAGTGAGATATTTCAAGCCTTTATTTGTTATAATTTTTATGATTACAGGATTACAGAAAACCTTTTCACAATATTCTAATTTTGAATTTGGGGTTTTCATATCTGTAAGCCATAATCATCACAATTATAACAAATAAAGGCTTGAAATATCTCACTTTGCATGTAATGAGTCTATATAATATATTAGTTTCACCTTTTAAGTTGAATTACTGAAATAAATGAACTTTTGCACCATATTCTCATTTTTCGAGTTTCACCTGTATGTAACTTAATGAAAACCGGTTCTGTTTGCAGAGATCGAGTTTAATGTGACGGGCAACTACGGCAGCCCCGTCCACACCAATCACAACGCCAACTACAGCTCGATGCCTTCGCCTGACATGGACCAATCAGAGCGCAGGCAGCCCATGGACCAATCAGAGCGCAGGCAGCCCATGGACCAATCAGAGCGCAGGCAGCCCATGGACCAATCAGATCGCAGGCTTTCGGACCAGAGCCGGCGACCCCTCAGCGTGGCCACCGACAACATGATGCTGGAGTTCTACAAGAAAGACGGGTCCGTTTGTGTGAGCGTGTGTGTGTGTGAGTGTGTGAGCGCTCTCGTGCTGTCCTCTCCTCTCTGCTTTGGGTTTGAATCACTGATGCTTCTGCTTTTATTCCACTATCGCAGCATTAGGAAGATTCAAAGGTACGGTGACGCTTCTGTCTCCTTCTGTTGTGTCAGTCTCAACTTTCCTGATTCCCTGCAAACGCTCGTGGTGTTTGTGTTTCTTCCTGGCAGCTGAGGATGCTTGTGAGGAACGTTGATTAAGTGACATGAATTATGGCATATTAACATTTTTCAAGGGTATTTCATGATGTTGTATTTCCAAAATCTGTTATATTTTGTAATTCGTTAATTAATTAACATTAATCAAACAACTCTGTTCAAAAGTTGCTTCTGCTCACCAAGGCTGCATTTATTTGATCAAATATACTGTGTAAAATAGTGAAATATTATTCTAATGTAAATCATCTGTTTTCTATGTGAATATATAGTAAAGTGTAATTTATTCCTGTGATCAAAGCTGAATTTTCAGCATCATTACTCCAGTCTTCAGTGTCTAATTCTAACTCTAATATGATGATCTGATGCTCAAGACACATTTATGATTATTTGAAAACTTTTTTTTTGTGGAAACTGATTCATTCGTTTTTCAGGATTCTTTGATTGAATTGAAAATTTTATAGCATTTCTTTGAAATAGAATCTTTTGTAACATTATAAACGTCTTTACTGTCACTTTTGATCAGTTTAATGTGTCCTTGCTGAATAAAAGTATTAATTTCTTACTGACGCCGAACTTTTGAACAGTAGTGTATTACTGGGCTTGTTTCGAGGGATCTGATTGGCCGTCTGTCTGCCCCGTTGCAGCATGGGAGTGCGAGTGATGGACACTTCATGGGTTTCTCGAAGAGGTTCCTCATCGTCCCGTAAGAGTTCGTCGACGCCCCCCAGCGTTCAGCCGCTCTCTGATTCGCTGTACCCCGAGCAAGCGGACGATGTCTCCGCCTCCCCCTCACAGACTCCGCCCCCCATCAGCAGCGATAGGACCAGGTAAACCAAGACGACCAATAGGAATCCAGACACGTAATGCTCAGTTCAGCCAGCTGAAAACATATACAGTCAAACCAAAAATTATCCAGACACCAGATATAATTGTTGATATTTTTTTATTAGGAGTTCATTTCTGTAAGTGAGGAGAGCAAAATAAAGTAAACTGTGACATATTACACCCAAAATATTCTTCATACAGTAAACATTTGGGACTAAAACTATTCCTCCACTTTGAGCTGATCGTGTTTTCTTCAGTGTGTTTTCTGTAACTGCTAATGCTCTTTTTACACACACACTGAACAACATGAAGCATTGCTTGGTCACTGGTTGAGCTAAACTGGTATTATCTAATTGTGGAGTTAAATTTAACAGCTGACAGATATTCAACATAATTCATGTGTGAGAGTCTAACAGAAGGACGGACAAAACCAGTCAAATATCCACTGATTTAATAACTCTGAGTTCTGCTCATGTTTATTACCATTTTCTATATAGTGAATAAACTGATAATGTGAGAAATGTTGAAGGTGTGTGAATAAATGTAGGTTTGACTGTATATCACACTTGATTCTCATATAAAGCAGTCCAAATAAATAACATTTGTGATTTAAAGCATAAAGTAAAGCAACGAAACGTTCAGTTTTGATCATTTCTAGTTGGCTGAATTGAAGCTCCAAAGTTCAGATATCCGGTTAGTCCAAACCTGTATGTTAAGTCATTATTCACTGATTCTCTTTCTCAGTGTTTGAACTATTCCTCATTATGTTGACAGTGTGAATCCTGATGATATATTACTTTATGATCCTAGATATCTCAGAATGCACTTGAGACTCATAATCACTCGTGTTTGTTGATGAATGTGTGAAGCTTTAGACAGGCCTTGTGTTTTATTCACTGCTGTTTGTGATATCAGGAATATTTTAATGTTCAAAACTTACACTCTGTCCAAAAGAGTAGTGGAAAAATTATATGGTGGATTACTATAGTTTCAAAAGGCAATAAAAACTGCACAGTTTCATATACATTTGTAGCCATTATGCATGTTTTAAAATTATAAATGTTAATTATGGATTATAATATTATTTATTACGCGATTAATCATTTAGTTAATTTAATAATATAATATAAAATATAATTAAATAAATTATATAAAATTTTATAATATTTTTGTATTATTTATATTTACTATTTGTTTAATTACAATCAATTATTGATACTAAGAAATATTTATAAAATGTATTATTTAATATTATCATTTGTATTATTATTTATTAATATTATATATTAATTGTAAATAAATAAATAAATACTTAATTATTAATATTTAATCATAATTATTTATTAATAATTTAATTATAATTGATTAGTAATTTATATATATTTATATTAATTTTAATATAATTAAATCAATGATTAATTATTATTAATAAATAATTATTTTAATAATTAATATTTTTAACATTTACTATTTGTGTGAATAGTCAATTAATTAATTATTATTATCATCAATGATTAATTAATATTAATACATACCATTTTTAATATTTACTATTTTAATTCACAATCAAATAATTATTATGATTATATTAATAACTATTTCTAATTTAATTATTTAATTAATGTAATTAAATAAGTAATAATTAAGAGTAATAACACTATTTTAATTATTAATGCTTAATAATTTTAATTATAATTTATTAATAATATCACTAAATCAATGATTAATTAAAATGAATAAATATTAATTGTATTCATATAATTAATTGAAGTACGTCGGCACTGTAGACAACTGCACTCATTAACATAACATCGCCCCAGAAAAGCGCACGTATTGATCCCTGAATATTCCAGAGCACTGAATCAATCAATAAATATTCCTAATTTAATTCTTAATATTAATTAGTTAATGTAAATACATAAATACTTTAATAATATGTATTTATTCATAATTAATTAATATAAGGTTACCACAGAAAAGCTGAACGTATTGACCCCTGAATATTCCTGATCGCTGCATCCCACACGCCAGCTCCCGCTGCTCTCAGTCCCGTTTTATCTGTCAACCTTCAACATGTTTGCAGCTCAGAGGATTATCGGGAGTCCTGTGTCGTGTGCCGGTCCCCTGAGGAGGAGAGGCCGCCTCCTCCATACCCGTTCCCTTCTTCCTCCTCTTCCTCGTTCTCCTCGTTCTCTCTCCCTCACTCCCGAACACACCCTCGTCCCGGTCCCGGTCCCGAGTGTGTTCCTCTCCCGATGTTCCCCCGCTCTCCACTCCTCCTGTCCTCCACCTCTCTGGACATCAACTCCAACCCCAAACCCAGTGTCCTGCACCTGCCCAAACAGGGCTCGCTGACCTCTGACCCCTGCCCCCCGCACGCGCCCCCCCCGCCCGTGTACATCAAACCCCCGCTCGTTCTGCCCCGCCACGACCCCTGCCATCCGAACTTTAGCCCTCACGCTCCGCCGCCGTGGGCCTGTAATCCAGAGAGAGGACTCAGAGCGCATAGGTAATATGACCATTGAACCTTTCTCTAGCTAATTAGGAAAATACATTTCAAAAGTTATTGGCCAAAATAGCCATTTTCCATATCTCATGACCTGTAGGTGGCGCTGTTCCCAAATTTGGCATGGCCCCTCGAATCATGGTTCCGATGAAGCGCACCAATTTTTGTTTTGATTGACCAAACTTTGGCCGAGATACAGCCTCTGAACCAATTTTGGGTCGACCTCGTTAAGTTTGCGAAACCATAACTTTTGAACAAAGATTAATTTAAAAAAATCAGTTTAGACATTTCTGTGCGGCTCAGTCCAAAGATCATCTGAGCCAAGTTTTGTAAGAATTGGACAACATTTGAAGGAGGAGTAGGAAAATATCATCAATCTAATAAAACAATGAATAAAAACAGTTTCCATGACAGTAACTACCCGAGCAGAACCAGCAGTTTGAGCTTCGGACTTTAAATATTATTGATCACCATCAGAGCACACCAGTTATGCTCAACGATCGCAAGATGATTATTAAATAAGCCCTGATATACTCACAGCAAATGTCTTTTTCGTTCTATACCTTAGTTAGCGAACTAACTAGTTAAAGTCCCCCTGTGGTGAAAATCCAGCTGTTAATGTTGTTTATCTGTCTATGTGGTGTTTTTAATCTGCTTTAACACAAACCATGTGTAAATTCATAAATCATAAAAAATGTTCTGCTTAAAACTGCAGTGAACCAAAGACAGTAACCAATCAGATCAACGTGTGATCGTCAACCAGTGGATCTCTGAGCTGAGGGAGTGAGTGGAGGCGGGGCTCATTTGCGTATTCATAGAATCGCGTATACTAAATGAGGCGAGGGTGTCGAGTTACATTCAAGATATTTTAAGACATGAAGATTTTTTTTCCCAAGGAAAAAAACTTTTAAATATGTAATTTTGGTGATCAAAGATGAGTTTTAAGTGATTCATTTTTTTACTACAGGGGGACTTTGATGAATATATTGAAAATGAATATGTAAATATGTGCTGCACACTTAATAACAAAAATAAACACACAACAAAAATGAGAAAACAGCAGTTCAGAAAGCATCTGATCGTAGCGATGTGGATATGTCTGCAGCAGCTCTGAGACTCAATCAAGTCACATCACGTTTATTTATACAATAGATGGCTTTAAAGCAGCAGCTTTTACAGTATTAAACATGAAAAACAGTGTCAGTGTCACGTTACAACTTCAGTTTCTACTATAAAGCGTCTCTCCAGTGTCTGAAGAACAGAAGAAATTAACCGGAAATTTACACCTCAAAGAAGGCGGAGCCTCAGAGCCATGCCCACCTATTACATCATCACAACACGGACCAATGGGAGTTCAGAGGCGTTCACCAGCCAGTGAAAAAATGTATATCGGGGCCTTTATGAAGTTATTTAAAAATAAAGTTTTCATTACAGTAACATTTAGCATTCAAAACTCTTCTGTTATGAATATGCTCAAGAAGGTTTTCTTGAAGTCTTTCCCTGCGCTGCTTTATGCACTAAAATTAGCAAAAATCCCAGCTGCCAAATTCAGGGATTTTTATCTTTGCTTTTGACCTGCTGTCACACTAGCATGGATATTTCTTACTGAAATGTTACACTTAACATGATGTATTTATTACTTATTTATTTGTTGTTGTTTTTCCCAACATCAGTAAGTGGAGGTTTTATCAGATTTACATCAATTTTGGGGACAAATGTGTTGCCAAACGTACACGATTTAAGTTTGTAGGTTTATTCATTTTAATGTTCAGAAGTCGTGTGTGTGTGTGTGTGTGTGTGTGGTTAATGGATGTCTGTGTCTGTCATCAGCACTCAGAAGAATAAGGAGCTCTCACCTGTGATTGGTCAAAGAGGACTCTCACCAACAGCTCCCTCTGGTGGACAGAACCAGCTCTCAGACCAGAGTCCTCACACACTGCGTAAAGGTGTGTGTTCAGCGTGTGCATGAATAGACCAAACAAGCAACATAATAAAATAGTAATCAATGCATTTCAGCTTCATTTATAGCAGCTACAAGGATTTATTTTTAATTAATCATATTTCTATTTATTTCACCAGCTTGTGCATGAATAGAAAGTGACTGGAAATAAAACAGCAATGCATTTCAAGTGAATTTTATTTTTTATTCTTTTTGCAAATTAATATGCAAACGCTTTCCCTCCAGAACATTCATTTTTAATGACTTTTTTTAATGAATCATATTTATATTTATTTCACCAGCACCTAAATGATCATTTTTAGTATCTACATACACTATATCTTTAATATTTCAGCCATTTTTAGCTTGTGCATGAATAGATAGTGACTGGAAATAAATGAATCTTTTTTTTTTTTTCTTTTTTTTTTTGCAATTAATATGCAAACACTTTTTTGTGCATGAATAGATAATGACTAAAAATATAAATAAATAAAAAATAGAAAATTTGCAATTATTATGCAAACGCATTCCCTCCAGAATGTTAATTTTTTTAGCATCTAGAAAACCGAATTCTTTCTTTTTCTTTCAGTTTCCAAAAAGCTGGCCCCCATCCCCCCCAAGAGTGTGTTTTCTCCGCCGGATGTGTCTCCGGGTCCGTCTCCGGTGAGTCTGTCTCCGACTCCTCCCAGCACCCCGTCACTATACAGCTTCAGTTACTCTCAGAGCTCGCCGGGACACGGACACACACTCTCGTCCCCGCCTCCGCTGAGCGGCACCCTGCCCCGGTCCCGGCCCGTGGCCAAACCCCCCCGGCACAGACCCAGCCTGCCCCCCCCACAGCCCCCCGGTGCCGGTCTGAGCCCGCAGGAGCCCGAGGAGCACGCGGGTCTGCACGGGCTGGCGGCGGCGGAGAGCATGTCCACAGGTGAACCTGGCCCGTCTGCACATGCATATCTCAGTGTGATGTTTAGGTGAAAACTGCTTTAAAGTGCCCCTATTATGAATATTACCTTTCATTTATAATAGAGCTGTTTGTTATGGTGGCTTGTTTCTGGCTCAGAAAAAAACATTTCTGACTTTTTTTCTCACAATTGCAAGTTTACATCTGGCAATTCTGACTTTTTATGTCAGAATTGCATGATATAAAGTCAGAATTGCGTGATATAAACTCACATTTCTGACTTTGCGGACCTGTTACATTCACAAACTATGGAAGCTTCTTTCTGCCACAGAATAAAAAATAAAAAAGGTAATTGCGACTTTCATCACGCAATTCTGACTATATAACACAATTCTGACTATATATCACACAATTCTGCCTATACAACACAAATTCTGACTATATATAATGCAATTCTGACTATATAACACAAATTCTGACTATATAACAAATTCTGACTATATATAACGCAATTCTGACTATATAACAAATTCTGACTATATATAACGCAATTCTGACTATATAACACAAATTCTAACTATATAACACAATTCTGACTATATATAACGCAATGCTGACTATATAACACAAATTCTGACTATATAACAAATTCTGACTATATAACGTAATTCTGACTATGACAAATTCTGACTATATAACACAAATTCTGACTATATATCACACAATTCTGCCTATATAACACAATTCTGACTATATATCACACAATTCTGCCTATATAACACAAATTCTGACTATATATAACGCAATTCTGACTATATAACACAAATTCTAACTATGTAACACAAATTCTGACTATATATAACGCAATGCTGACTATATAACACATTCTGACTATATAACACAAATTCTGACTATATATCACACAATTCTGCCTATATAACACAAATTCTGACTATATATAACACAATTCTGCCTATATAACACAAATTCTGACTATATATAACGCAATTCTGACTATATAACACAAATTCTGACTATATAACAAATTCTGACTATATATAACGCAATTCTGACTAACAAATTCTGACTATATATAACGCAATTCTGACTTTATAACACAAATTCTAACTATATAACACAAATTCTGACTATATATAACACAATGCTGACTGTATAACACAAATTCTGACTATATAACACAAATTCTGACTATATAACACAATTCTGACTATATATCACACAATTCTGACTATATAACACAATTCTGACTATATATCACACAATTCTGACTACCGGGTATATATCACACAATTCTGACTACCGGGTATATATCACGCAATTCTGACTAAAAAGTCAGAATTGCCAGATGTAAACTCGCAATTGTGAGAGAAAAAAAAGTCAGAATTGTGGGATAAAAAGTCGCAATTACCTTTTTATTTTTTATTCTGTGGCGTAAACAAGCTTCCATAGTTTGTGAATGTAAAAGGTCTGCAAAGTTTCCAAGATCAAAGATAAATGGAGTTTTTCTCTCCTAAAAGAAAGAATCGATTCTAAACTAAAATGAGTCGTCATTAATTCCAGTCTGTGTGTGTGTCACTTCCTGTTACATACCTATGTAACAAATGTGCATAATTTCACCCAATGGCTGAGCAGCGTCTCTTAGCTCCGCCCTCAAACACTGTAGTGTATCTGAGACTGGAAGAGTTCGGCTCGTGTTGTTCGTGTCGAGGAGACGCTGTTTTCTGAGATTGAGACGGTGAAACCCACGCCATCGTCACTGTTCGTATCACTGTGATCAAGAGCTGAGATTCAGATATGATAATGAGCGTTTGCTTTCTGACCAATCAGAGCAGAGCAGCTCTCAGAGAGGCGGAGCTTAGAGAGACTGAATCCTTGATGGAAGCGTTTCAGACACTGAGAGGAAAGAGCTGAAGCTGCAGTGGAGATTATGAGGAAGTGTTTATATGCATGTAAAACTATTATAGGAGACTCTAAAACAACATTATGAGCGATTAATAACAGCATAATAGGGGCACTTTAAAAAACTCCAGGTGTGATGTGTTTATAAGGCTGCACAATTAGGCCCAATTTTTTGTATATCAATATGACTATAATAATAGTAATGATTATTATTTTAATGATTATTATTAATAAAATATGGAGTTTCACTATTATAATATTTCACTGTAAAATGTTATTTAAAAAAATACATATGTAAATAATCATTTTTATTTTACAGTACAACTGTACAAATTCCAGCTGTGATTCTTCTGTTTAAAAAATGGCGATTTGTGTTTTAAAATGTGATTTAAAAATAATCTGTTTGTAAGGCTGCATAATTTGGCCAAAATCTTGATAATATATCAATATGACTAAAATAATATATTTCTAATTATTATTATTATTATTATAATTTAATGAAAGAATATTGAATATTGCTATGCTATTATAATATTTCACTGTGAAATAAAAATGTAGTGTTTAAAAATAATAATATAATTTTCTATTACAGTACAGCTATATGAATAATTTTTTTTTAATTCTGACATTTCCTTTAACTATGTGAGCAAACTTGAAGATAAAGTTATATTGTCGAATTGCACTATTATATTGCCTTGACACGATTATAATAGTTATATTATTTGCTGTGGACTGTTTGAAACCGAGACGAAGAGAACGCAGACGTGAGTGTGTGTGTGTGTGTGTGTGTGTGTGTTATATCATATCTGTTGGGTTCAGGTGGTTTTGTGTTGTTTTGCAGCGGTGTGAGGTCGGGGGGTCAGTGGGCTTTGGCTCAGAAGGGTAAGCAGTGTGTGTGTGTGTGTGAACTCACCCGCCATCATCACTAACGCATGGCGCTGTCCCGCATGGCTCTCGCGTGTCTGTGATCCGCATCACCATCCGTCCTTCACTTTAAACACACACTCGCTCCCCCATCTCACATGTGTGTTAGTTCGTCAACACACACCCCTGCTGTTCCCTGTTGAACCCCAGTTCCATAAACTCTTAAAGAATCATGCAATAACAATAGAAACACCTTGAATATATAATTATTATATTGCAGTATCTTCTGGACTGCAGCGCAATGATGTCAAACATCGTTCAGTTTCACACACAGCATCATGTGACTGGGACTATAGTGCAGTATGGATGACAGTTATGATCATCTATTTATTTATTATTCTTATTTGAGCTGCATGATTATACTACTTTTGTGTTCCACTGAAGAAGAAGAAGAAATAACCGTACAGGTTTGAACATGATTGTGAGTAAATTATGACAGAATGTTCATTTTTGGTGCAAATAATATGTGTTTGTAAAGTGTTCAGTCACTGGATGTGAATTTCACCTCCAATATTATGTTTTGCAGGATTTAAGAAGGATTTTAACAATTCTTGTCAGATGCTTTAAACTGTTCAAAAGTTTGGGGTCAGTAAGATTTTTTTAAAGTAATTAATACTTTTATTCAGCAAGGATGCATTAAATTGATCGAAAATGGCAGTAAAGACATTTATAATGTTACAAAAGATTATATTTCAAATAAATGCTGTTCTTTTGAACTTTCAATTCATCAAAGAATCCTGAAAAATAAAAAGATGTATCAGTTTCCACAAAAATATGAACTGTTTTCAACATTGATAATAATCATAAATGTGTCTTGAGCATCAAATCATCATATTAGAGTGATTTCTGAAGGATCATGTGACACTGAAGACTGGAGTAATGATGCTGAACATTCAGCTTTGATCACAGGAATAAATTACACTTTACTGTATATTCACATAGAAAACAGCTGATTTACATTAGAATAATATTTCACTGTTTTACAGTATTGTTGATCATATAAATGCAGCCTTGATAGAAACATTAGGAAATCTCACGACCCCAAACCTTTGATTCCCAGTGTCTTTAACAGAAATCTTCACTGCTGTTCATAGATCTGTACTGTACTGAACACTTGTTGTTAGTTACTGTACGACACTTGAATGGAGTCATTTACACTTTTTTTTTTTCTTCATCTCCAAACCAGCACAAAAACACGAGTATATTTTTAATGTTGTTGTTCTGTCCTCGTCTAACAGTGTTGTGTTCTCCCTGCAGACTCGTGTGATGTGGACGGGAGCTCCGGCGCCCCCTACAGGAACTCAGTGTCTCTGCTGGACTCGGAAGAGGAGATCGAGAGCACTGCCCTATGACCCACAATGCTTTGCTCCTTCCCCTCACCGCACAAGCGAGCTTGTATAGTCCACATGAACCGGCGCTGGATCCACAGACGTCAGGACATCTACACGTCTTATGTTTTTACAGTTTCACGTCTCCTTTGTTTTCTATTTGCCTTATCCGAGTTCTTGCACTTTTGCCTTGAGGTTCGTGTGATGTACGTTTGGGTCAGTCGATTCTCTGATTCGTCCTCATGATTATGGAGATTGTTAAGCATGATCTCGCTGTGGTTTGTCCTCGGATTTTAAATCTTAGATAGTTTGAGGCCGTTCACGGTCGATGCATCAGACGTTTGGGGTCAGTAAGATTTTTTTGTTTTTGAAAGAGTCTCTTCTGCTCATCAAAGCTGCATTTATTTGATCAAAAATACTGTAAAATAGTGAAATATTATTCTAATGTTAATCAGCTGTTTTCTATGTGAATATATAGTAAAGTGTAATTTATTCCTGTGATCAAAGCTGAGTGTTCAGCATCATTACTCCAGTCTTCAGAGTCACATGATCCTTCACAAATCACTCTAATATGAGGATCTGATGCTCAAGAAACATTTATGATTATTATCAGTGTTAAAACAGTTAAATTTGATCTTTTTTTTGATGAATAGAAAGTTCAGAAGAACAGCATTAATTTGAAGTAGAATCTTTTGTAACATTATAAATGTCTTAATTGTCATTTTTAAATAATTTAATGCATCCTCAATGAATAAAAATATAATTATTTAAAAAAAAAATCTTACTGACCTTTTCAGAATTTTTTTTGTTTATAGAAATGTTTATTTATGGTGTCGTCACTGTCAGGATAAAAAGATGAACATTTCCCTGAAGTTTCTCCAGGATCTGTGAGTGAATGCTGGACGTTTGAAGAGTTTGTATATTAAACCTTATTGAATAATTAAAGATAATATATAAAGGATTACAGAAAATATCAAAATTAAAACAGATATAAAGTTCTTTAATTTCATATAACAATATGTTTGCTGAACAGAAATCAGCAGTTTCTGAATGTTTTTATCATGTTTATGATGTCCTTATGATCAGTGAATCCATGACTCTTACAGGAAATCCTGGATAACATTATTTAAAATCAAATGAATTTTCCAGACCTGGAAACCACATTTTAACCCTTTGACGCATGACCTGAAATCCCACACCAACACATGGAATGATTATATTTTGAGAGAGTATTTAATATGTCTGACCACTACAGTAGCAGATATTGTAGATTTTCCCCGGGGTCAAAGGTCATCATCTATCCCTCCTTCAATGATGAAAATATCCTAAAGTTTGTCTAATCTAGCGGACATCGTGCGTCCGAGGGTTAAAGTTCCCTGGTTTTCCTGTTCTGACCGAACGAAGGCTGATCACTGGCGTCAGTCGTGTTATTAATAATAATTCATAAACTGTGCTGTAAGTATTAGCTTGTGTAAATGCTGTTCATCCACATGTACATAGTCTATAGAATCAAAGGTCAAATATTTATGAATCTCTTTCTCTCGCTATATAAATATAAATATATACAGACAATATTATTTTTTGCTTCAGACACTGCTGGTGTGTGTACATACACTAATATGATTCCTGTGAAGGGAAGAATCATTCAGATGCACCGATGAACTGAGAGCGAGTGTGTGTGAGACTCAGAGAACAGGACTGAGCGAGTGTGTGTGTGTGAGACTCAGAGAACAGGACTGAGCGAGTGTGTGTGTGTGTGTGTGAGACTCAGAGAACAGGACTGAGTGAGCGAGTGTGTGTGTGTGTGAGACTCAGAGAACAGGACTGAGCGAGTGTGTGTGTGTGAGACTCAGAGAACAGGACTGAGCGAGTGTGTGTGTGTGTGTGTGTGAGACTCAGAGAACAGGACTGAGCGAGTCTGTGTGTGTGTGTGTGTGTGAGACTCAGAGAACAGGACTGAGCGAGTGTGTGTGTGTGAGACTCAGAGAA